TTGGGGTTTAGGGTTTTCGGTGTTTTGGGTTTGGGGTTTAGGGTTTGGAGTTTAGGGTTCATGCGGATAGGATTTTGGTACTTCATACTGTATAGGGACCATCAGAGCATACTTCTTCGAATCATTCAGACATCAACCGCAGCTCAGCCTGTGCTCCAAGGTTTGCAGGTACGTACGGCTTCAGGCTCTAAATCCTAAACTCTAAATCCTAAACCCTAAACCCTAAACCCTAAAGCCCTAAGCCCTAAGCCCTAAACTCTAAACCCTGAACCGCTCTGAGCGCGGGCTTCAGAGCTGTGGGTGAGGGTGGAGGGCGGTTATACTTAGGTTTGCAACTCCCCAGAGACCCCAATACCCCTCAATTAAGGAGAATATACCTTAAATAATCGGGGCCTTCATATTATGATTTAGGGTATGTTCCTTAATTAAGGGGCATTGGGTTCTCTGGGTCATACGGCTTTCCCAGGGCCTTGCCAGCGTTTTGTAAAGGCGCTACAGCTACCCAAAAGCTTAAACTTTGAAAAACCCTTAACCCCTAATCCCTTAAGACTCTGAATTCAAATCAACTCCGTAGATAAAACGCATTGGGTTCTGTGGGTGCATCTGGAGATGCCTCATGGGTAGCAAGAAAGTGGCCATGGAGGTTTCGGCATCAGGGTGTCCGACTTAGGGTGTTTTGTTTAAGGGTTTGGGCGTTCACAGGGTCGAAGGTTGCAGTCGTAGGTATAGGGACCCTTCATAAACAGAATGTAGGCTGTTGGGTGCCCACTATAGTCTACAGCTTACCCATGCTATAAGGAGCCCTGAGGAATAGTAGTACTAATCTGTTTAGCGTTCTATCTATCCATCCACCCATCTATCAATCTGTCTGTCTGTCCATCTATCTGTCTTTCTATATGACCGAGGGGCTAATCACCTTGTTGAAAGCCGGCTCGGCCACCCCGAACGCTTCGCTGAGGCCATTGTCCAAATCCTGCGTCTCGCACTTTGCGGCCTTGACCCTTAACCCGATTCCTAAGCCCACAACCCTACCCTAAACCCACAACCCTTAAACCCTAAACCACAATCCTTAAGCCCTAAACCCTAACACCCTTAATTAAACCCTAAACCAACAATACTTAAACCCTAAACCCCAAAACCCCTAGACCCTAAACCCTAAAACCCTTAAACCCTAAACCCTAAAACCCTCTCTGCTTCCTGCACAGCGTCTCGCCACCGCCCGCGCGACCGTGGCGACGCGCGGAGGCCCATGGCAGCTTTGGCACATGAAACCAGGCTCACAGTTCTGGTGCTCTGGAGTTTAGGGTTTAGGGTTCAGGGTTTGGGGTTTTGGGTTTAGGGTTCAGGGCTTAGGGTTTGGAGTTTAGGGTTTAGGGCTTAGGGTTTAGGGTTTGGAGTTCAAGGCTTAGGGCTTAGGGTTTAGTGTTTAGTGTTTAGGGCTTAGGGTTTAGGGTTTAGGGGCTTAGGGTTAAGGGGTTTAGGGTTCGGGCTTAGGAGTTGCAGGCTGACGAACCCTAAACCCTAAACCCCAAACCCTTAGGGTTGTTGGTTTCGGGCCTGGGGTGACACGAGGGTTCGGGGTTTAGGGGTCTTGGAGTCGAAGGTTCGGCTTGAGGGTGTAGGGTTTGAGGGTTTAGGCTTTAGGGTTTGGGGTTTAGGGGTTTTTCGGTTTAGGGTTTAGAGTTTCGGGCTTAGGGTTTAGGGTGGCCTAGTTGATTACCGGTTCGATGCTGGGTAGGCGCGGAGTTCTATAAAGGTAAGTTAGGGCCCTGGAGGGTCTTTTGGTACAGTCTAGGCCCGACGGTTTCAGTCTTTGGCAACTCAGAACCCTAAACCCTAAACCCTAAACCCTGAACCCTAAACCCTAAACTCTAGCGGTTTGCGATCTCAGAGGTCCAGCCGACAGAGTCTTAGGATTCGGGCGCGATCAGGGTTATGTAGGGGTTTATGAGCCCTTGCTCGACCTGAGGGCAACAGAGCTTGTCGTAGGGTTTGGGGTTTAGGGGGTCGGCAGCAAGCAATTCCCGGAAGGATCCAGTGCGTACTGTAGGGTCTCATGCCCAGCATAAAAGAGCATTCTCTTCGAAGCCGAAAAGGGAGCCCCTACACACACCCGAAACATAAACTACTTAAGATTGTACTAATGATCTCCCTACAAAAAGGAGTAGGTTGGAATACTTTCTATTTATGTGCTTCTTTGGTCCCAATGTTAAACAACTACTTGGTTCCCCAAACAAAAAAGTGTACGCTTTTCCTAGGTTTAGGGTAAAGGGTCCGGCACCTTAAGAAGCCTGCATTTTTACAGGGCCTTCGGACATGAGGTTCGGGATTTCGACACGTGTTCAGGCCAAGCTGGCAGGTAAACTCACGATTTTAGGGTTTAGGGTTTATAGGGTTTAGGTTTTAGGGTTTAGGGTTTAGGGGGGCTTCGGGTGTGAGGGTTTAGCTGTTTACAGGTCTAGGGTTGAGAGCTCCTGGTTCTAGGCATCCTTCGGTCTGCACACTTGGCGGATGAGCTCGTTGCTGCCAGGATAAGCCAAAACATCCCAAAAGAAGTAGTCAGTCAATGACCAAAGTCCTGAACCCTCAGGAAAAAATCAGAGCCGAAAATTACAGAGCCGAATGTGGCTACTTTGCCTTTCAGAGTCATAATCGGGGCCTCAACAACATCAACGTAATTTTCTACTAATTCTACTAGTTATCAATGTATAACGACCACAAGGGGATTGTTTCAATACTTATTCCGGCACCTACGTGTTACTCGTCTTTGATTTAGCGGAGCCCCCAACACCAACAATCAAACAAACGAACCTTGTGGATACCTTGCACATACAATAACTGTAGAGCTCGAAAACCCTGAAACCTCAAGACCCTGAAATACATCCCCAAACTAAACCCTGCGAGAAACGCTCGCTCCTTCGAGGAGTCCATAAATCCATCCGAAGCCTGCTACAAAGCCTCTTTCAAGGTATGCTCCTTGACTACTGGGCCCGTTAAAATCAGAGGCGTGGGAAGAGGAAACCGGTGCCTTGCTCTCGTCGTTGGTTGGGAACCCCCTGCTTCTGCAGCCTCGGGCGGTCAAGTGATGCACGGTTTAGGGTTTAGGGTTTAGGGTGTTGCTGCGCTTGGGGTTTGGGGTTTAGGTTGAGGGCTTGGGCTTCGGCGTGTAGGGTACTCGGCCGTGTTTACAAGACTTGACACGGACTTTATGCAAGCACATAGTGCTGTATAGTGTTTTTTGCTGAGGAGTGTTGGTCTTCAGAAACTGGGGTGTAGCGCTGCAGCTTCGGGGCTTCAGGGCTTAGGGCTTGGGGTTTGGGGCCTCCCTTTCTCCAAAAAGCCAATCGAACCTTAGACCTTAAGCTCTAAACTCTGGACCCAACTGCAGCTGCGAGTCTGAAAATCTTCCTTCCACCATCGCCGGTCGTCCACATGATAGACGTCCTGCACTGAGTGGAGAAGGTTACTTTTCAGGCTTCCTTTAAAGGCTTCCAGCTCTGTGATCTAGGGCCAATCTAGGGTCCTTAGCAGAGCAACTAGAAAAAGGTTTGGGGGGGTACAGTATAGTCAATTAGAACCAGGAACCCCAGGGACTTTTCTCGGGAACTATCCGGCCTCTATATTCGGCTTAGGCTTAGAGAGGCATGTTTCGGGTAGTCATCTTGAAGTGCTCCAAGTGCTTAATTAATTGGCGTAGAGGACTTGAACGCATCACTGCGCTTCGGAACGTTCTATCGCATCTCCATGTTGGAGAGTGTGAGTGAATGAATCAATGAATGAATGAATGAATGAATGAATGAATGAATGAATGAATGAATGAAGAAATGAAGAAATGAATGAATCACTGTGTGTATGCATGTTTTCATAAGCGCCATGCGCACAGATATGTAGGTTGGGGTGCACGGCCCCGCTGACAAATCATTTTCGACATGTCAGTGCTGGCCCGAGTCCGTACACTTGGGGTTGAGAGTTTATGGACCAATGGAGGCCAAGGCTGCCCATTTACGTAATTGCTTGGACATTGCCGTTCGTCTCTACCGACGGGTGAGGATCGTGTTTGTGTGTTATGTAGAGTCTGTTAGAGCTGGTGCTTTAGAGAAACCCGATCCCGCGATTCGCTTGGCGAAACCAGCGGCTTGCTATGGACTCTCTATCTCCGGATTGCGAAGACCTGCAAAGATGCATGCGTGCATCCGTCGATTTCTTTGGGTGCAGAGATATATCAAAGCCAAAACCCTAAATCCTAAACCCTGAAACCCTAAACCCTAAACTCTAAACCCTCAAACCAGATATCTCACATGTTCACATGGCCGAATCGCTCCCGCGTGCCCAAGACCAGCTCCAGCAGAAGGATGCCAAGGCTCCAGAGGTCCTTTCTTTTAGGGCTTCGTGGTTTTTAGGGGTTTAGGGGTTTAGGGGTTTGGGGGTTTAGGCGTTCAGGGGTTTAGAGGTTTAGAGGTTTAGGGTTTATAGGGCTTAGGGTTTATATAGGGGAGCCCAAACATATGCCACAGGCCTACCTAGCAGAGTTTCGGGAAATGTTTGATATGAATGAAGGGCTCTGCAAGAGCTTATAGGATTTGAAAGAAACCCCCCGTTGACGTGAGGTTGAGGGTTACGGGCTTGACGCTTCAAGCTTCCGGATCTAAGGTAGTCTAAAGCTTGAGATTTGGAGTCTTTGCCTCATGGCTTGAGGTGTCTAGGGTTTTAGGGCTTAAGATTTGAATGGAGGGTTTGCACCTAATTAAGCTTAGAGGGCAACTCTCGGGGTGCAGGTAGTCGGAACAAGGTCGGGCTCTCCGGGCTGTTTGGGATTGAGGTTTGCAAGCGGGCTTGGGAGTCTCCTGTAGGGTCTGGGGGGACTCTGACGCAACCCAAGACCCCGAACATGACTAATCTCAACGCAACGGCCAGATGTAGGTCGGTGTGGCAGTCACAATCAATCTCGTCTTGTTGCCCCCACCACCCCACATCCTCCGTAAAAGTCGCTGAGGACGGCCATTGATGTCCCCCTCCTCGTGTGCTTTCCCGAGCACTAGAACCACCACGCACACTAGGCCGAAATGTCGCTCATGTACAATAGCTTTATCTCCACTGCTTCCATTCCTTGCCCCTGCATCCGAATGCCGGCCGCAAAATCAAACCAGGCAGGAGGGTAGATCTTTGTCCGGCCTGGTGCTGCTGCATCCACAGCAATCTTCCTTTAGGAAATCCTTGAAGGCATGCGTGTCGCATGCTTGAAGGATCATTGGACGAAGTAACCAGGGGTGCAAACAAGGCAACTGTACTTGTAGTTACTTTACTTATAACCCCAACTCGGGCACTTACACCCTAAACCCTAAACCCTAAACCCTAAACCCAATACCATGATCCTCCAAGCAGAAGAGGCTCCTTGCAGCGGAGCCTAGAAAAGGATGGCTTACAAATAACCACCACCTTCAAACCTCCATAGGAGCCCAGGGATAGATCCTACGCTCACCCCAAATCCTAACCACTAAACCCTAAGACCAGTACGCTCAAACCCTGAACCCTTTAGGGTTTAAGGTTTAGGGTTTAGGCTTTAGGGTGAACCCTGAACACTAAATTTTCCCCACTAAAACCAACTCTCTTGAACTCTGCAAAACCCTTGACGCCCAAAGACAAGAAACCTTCGCCCAAGTAACACAACTCGCTAAGCGCTAAACTTCTGAAGAGAACTATAGATCTGAACCAGCCAAAGATCGAGACCCCATAAAAGAGACCTCGCTACGCCATTACCAAATTCACACTGGCCTATCATCCGTAAAATCAATCAAGCACCAAAATTTTCGACCAAACCCCCAAAAGCCCATTTTCTATTTAGAAAACCTACATCCTAAAGCCTAAAGCCCGAAACCCCAAACCCGAAACTCGAAACCCTGAAACCTTAAACCCTCCAACCCTAAAACCCTAAAGAGAAAGGCCTTCATCCCCGCTTGAACTCTAAAACCCTAAACTCCTCAAAGGAACCCCTAAAACACCCGTTTTAAAGGAACCCGTAAAGGAATCCTTAGCAACCCTTGAGGGGCCCCAAAAGGAAGCCTTAAAGGAACAAGGCCCCTTTAAAAGAACCAAACCCGCTTTGAAAGGAACCCCAAACCCCGATAAAGGAGCCCTTACAGGAACCCTCAACCCCCCGTTTAAAGGAGCCCTTACGGAACCCTAAACCCTAAACCCCTGAACCCTAAACCCTCAAAACCCTAAAGCCCCGAAACCCCAAAACCTTAAACCCTAAACCCCTAATCCCCTAATCCCCTAAACCCTAAACCCTAAACCCTAAACCCTAAACCCCTAATCCCCTAATCCCCTAATCCCCTAAACCCTAAACCCTAAACCCTAAACCCTAAACCCTAGACTTCTGCCCAGCGGCATAGGCCCGGCTCCGCCAGGCCCGGGAGCTTCGGAGGCCCAGTCGCTTCAGGAGCTCTGCGTCGAAGAGGCCTGAAAAAAGGCCCCCTTTGAGGGATTTTGAAAGACTTCCTTTAAGGTAGGGTTTAGGGTTTAGGGTGTAGGATTTAGGATTTAGGGTTTAGGGTTTAGGATTTAGGGTTTAGGGTTTGAGTTTAAATGGCTCCTATAAGTCCCCTTTGAAGGATTTAAAGGGGTTCCTTTAAGGTAGGGTTTAGGGTTCAGGGTTTTTTAGGGTTTTGGGTTTAGGATTTAGGGTTCAGGGTTTAGGGTCAAGGTTAAAGGGCTCCTTACAAGGGATCTAGCAGGGTTCAGTGAGCCTTGTATAGTCCTAAAGATTTCTGAGAAGAAGCCTTACAAGAGAACCCTATCCCTCCAAAACCCTATAGAACCCCAAACACCAAACCCCAAACTCCTAAACCCTAAAACCTACACCTTAAACCCTAAACCCTAAGCTCATAAACCCTATATCCCGTAAACCCATCGCAGGGTGGCCGCGCCAGCTTCAGGAGGCTTGTACTCGCTGGTCTCATCATCCTCGGTTGGCCCTTCCTCAGCGGACGTGGAATTTAAGGCTTTGGGGTTTAAAGTTTGGGGTTTAGGGTTTAGGGTGTGGGGTTTAGGGTAATAGTCACAGGGTGTGTATGGGCTGTTGCGGGGTTTTGTGGCTGTCTCTCTCACTGTCTCACACACACACACACTTTCTCTCTCTCTCTCTCTCTCTACATACATATATCTATGTGTATATATATATATGATAAAAAAAGGTATAGATATGGATATAGATATAGATGTAGGCGTGTATCTATATGTGTATGTATGTGTATCTGTAGATGTAGACGTAGATGTGGATGCCTGGGCACATGTACACGTACATGCGTGGATACGAATGCATGTATATATGAAGATGTATGCATGTATGTGTTTACATGTATATGCTATAATTGCGTAACGGTATGTGTTTACGTATGTATGTATGTATGTATGTATGTATGTATGTATGTAGGTATGTATGTATGTATGTATGTATGTATGTATGTATGTATGTATGTATATACATACGTAACTTCTACATAAGTATATATATAGATATGCATATGTACGTATGCGCATATATGCATGTGTATATATATATATATAGGTATACATGTAGCTTCAACTTCTGAGACTGTTTTGACTTTAGAGATCATCGAGTTGGTGGGTGTATATAGGGGCCTTACTACTTCGAACAGGGTTTGGTGTATACTAGAACCCCTAACTAAAACCCTATTCTAATTTTTAAGGCCCCTAAACCCTTACAGTAGCCCTTGTAGAACCCTTTAAGGAACCCTAGAAAGGCACCCCCAAAACCGTATTCCAACTATTGAGGCCCCTACATTAGCGGTGTACGCTCTAGATGGCTCGCTTCGGGCTCAGAGCTTCCGGGCTGATGGTTCAGGGTTTAGGGTTTAGGGTTTAGGGTTGGAAATTAGGGTTTAGGGTTTAGGGTTTAGGGTTTAGGGTTTAGGGTTGGAAATTAGGGTTTAGGGTTTGGGGTTTGGGGTTTTCGTCTGATTTATACAAGGTCTCGGGCATTGGGTTCCGAGTCTCAGGGGTCAGGGTTTGGCGCTTACGCTTTAGGATTTCAGCTTAAGGCTTTAGGGTGTAGGGCTGAGGATCCATGATTTGGAACCTGGGCTGTGGACACTGTAGGCCCGCACCCGGAGAAGGGGCATCTCTGATACGCAGCTCAAGCTTCATGCATGTGGAACCCGGAGTAACGAAAGAACTCCCTTGATTGAAGGGCCTTAGAATTTCTCGCCGAATTTTCAATTTTTGTTTCGGCTAGGGAAGGAATCATAAATGGGTAGCCTACATTATCAGTGCTCCGCCACCTGCCCAATCGCGAGCTTCACACACAACCCTAACAACCTACCGATGAGCCGTAATATCTCACCCTAAACCCTAAACCCTAAACCCTAAACCCTAAACCCTAAACCCTAAACCCTAAACCCTAAACCCTAAAACCTATAGCCCCAACCCTGAGCTCCAAACCCGCAGGGCCCTCCAACCCGAGACCGCAGACCATCCACAAACCCTAGGCCCAGAAACCCCAAACCTGCAACCCTGCTGTTAGACCGAGCATCTTGACCATAGAGTTTCCGAACCTCCTGGATTTATGGTTCTGTGGTTTAGGGCTTAGGGTTTAGGAGCATCTGTGGCTTGGGGTTTAAGTCTGCAAGTGTAAGATTTAGCGCTGTGGACTGTGGGGTTGGAGTTAGAGTCTTACAGCAGTGTCGGCTGTGAGCGGGACTGCAACTTCATGTCCATGGAGTCTTACCTTCAGCTCGCCTACCAGGCCTACCACCAGTGGTAAGGTCTGGGGTTTCGGGGGAGGGCAAGGCCATGCAAGCAGCGCCGCTCCATCAGGCATTTGCTACCCTACACCCTAAACCCGAAACCCCAAACCCTAAGCCCTAACCCTAAATCCTATGGACTGCGAACCTTCGTCTGAAGATGCGGTGTTTGTTTGCCATACCCCAAAGGAGAACCAGGGAAACTATATACTTATATGCCTTCAAGCCGGCGACCATGGCATAAACCCATAAAGAACTTGAAAAGAGCATAGGCGAACTCCCTTTCTCAGAACAAAAAATCCAATACTGGGGCCTTGATACTCGAAACATGTTCCTTAAAGATTTAGTGCTAGATAGTTGTTAGATTTATAAACTTGTGCTACACCCCAAAAACCCTATCTGCTTAATAAGGTCCTTATATTATAGAACCCTCCTTTTGGTAAGCGTGATAACCCTTCTGAACAAACGTCTGAAGCAGTCGATCGGTGCTTTGAACCTCACGATTTCCTGGTCCTTGATTGCCACATGACGGTGTAGCGGCTTAGTGCCCGCTCTGCTTGCTGAAGCCTGACGCCTGACCGCTGGCGGCTTTGATTGTCCTTCACCCTTCCAACTTGCTCCGCGAACTGGGCAACGTCTTTCAAAGCTTGTCGGTCTCGTTGCCCTTGGCGGACTGGGCCGACATTTCTTGCAGTCTTGCCCCAATATCCTCATAGCTTCCAGTCTTGCCCTCGGCCTGCTCTAGCTCGGGTTGGAGGATGCCTGGCACCTCCAATACATCTTGTGCGCTTACTTTCAAAGGATTGTTTCTGCCATTTTGCGCCCCAGCGGCCTTGTGTAAAAAAACAGCAGGGATCATCTTTGCCTGGAATAATATATGGGTAGTTGTCAAAATTATGGTCCCTTTTGGGTACCCTAAATAATAGGTGCCTTATTCTAAGGACCCCAAAAAGGGACCCTAATTTTGACAACCACCCATAAGGGTGTTCTTGAGTCAGGGAACTCCAAGTTTTGGGAAGCTCAGGTTCGGGCCGGCTAGCAACCCCAACCCCCCAGGTACCTAGGGTTTAGGGTTTAGGGTTTAGGGTTTAGGGTTTAGGGTTTAGGGCCCTATATAGGGTACTAAAGCCCCTAGGTTCCTTACTGAAGAGTGCTGTTGAGTGATGTCGGAGAGGTTTCGAACCTGTGAGGACGCCGACACCCAAAACCCTAAGCTCAAAAAACCCTAAACCCCCAAAACCCTCAAACCCCTAAACCCCTAAAAACCCTAAAGCCCCTAAAACCGTTAAGGGTATTAGGGTAAGGGTTGAGGAGTTAAGGGCTCCTGGTTAGAGTTTAGAGGAAGCCTTTACAGGGGTTTGGGGTTTAGCGGTTTAGGGGTCTAGGGGTTTATGGGTTTTAGAATTTAGGGCTTTCGGGATTTAAAGTTTTAGGGTTAAGCGGCTTAGGGGTTTAAGGTTTTAGAATTAGGGGTTTAGGGGTTTAGGGGTTTAGGGGTTTAGAATTTAGGGCTTTAGGAGTTTACAGTTTTAGGGTTTAGCGGCTTAGAGGTTTAAGGTTTTAGGGTTTAGGGGTTTAGGGGTTTAGGGCTTTAGGGTTTAGCGGTCTAGGGTTTTAGAATTTAGGGGTTTGGGGGTTTAGGGTTTTAGGCTAAAGCGCTTTAGGGTTTAGGGGTTTAGGGGTTTCAGGGCTTTAGAATTTAGGGGTTTAGGGTTTTAGGGATTAGGAGTTTAGAGGTTTAGGATTTAGGGTTTAGGGGAGGCCTCAAAAGGTAAGCTTCCAAGCCAATGTCAACGCAGTCTAACTAAACCGTAAACCCTGAAGCCTAGCGCTCATGGGGAGGCTTCGGGGTTTCGGGTTTAGGTTTGGGAGTCTAGGGATTGGGTTTAGGGTTTAGGGATTAGGGTTTTAGGTTTGGGAGTCTGGGGATTAGGAAATTAGGGTGAACCTTAAACCTCAACCCCGGAACCCCCAAACCCGATTTCCTGAACTCCTCTACCCTAACCCCGAACCTGCTTCTACGCCCATCTACCAAACCCCGGAAACTCCGAACAAACCCTAAATATGAGGGCCCTTAATAATTAGAGTTGGGTTTTGGGATCCTTTATAGTAGAAGTATAATAGTAAGTAACCGCCAAAATGGTTTGTGGAATTATTGAGCCCCTGCATTAGCCTCTGTTTCCAAAGCATCCCAAGCCATGGTCGCTATCCCGGATTCCTGGCTAGGGGTTTTGTCCATAACCCTGCGAACCCTGAAACTTCCATCGCTTAAACCCTAAACTCTAGGTATTTGTCTTTAGGGTTTAGGGTAGGGTTTAGGGTTTAGGGTTTAGGGTTTAGGGTTTAGGGTTTAGGGTTTAGGGTTTAGGGTTGAATGTTTAGGTTTGATATCAAATCCTATACTGTACTCAGAAAGCTGACCGTCCTCGGTGGGCGGAGTCTTCAGCGCGCTCCCCCAGTCTCCTGCCGAAAGCAGAGCCCAACCCTCCCAGACCTTCAAATAGGGTTTAGGGGTTTGGGGTTCAGGGTTTAGGGTTTAGGGTTACCCTAAACCCAAAACCCTAAACCCTACCCCCTATTTAAGGAATATACCTTAAATCCTTAAATCAACCCTTTCCCCTATAGAGGTTGAATATGAGGGATCTGTATAAGGGACCTGTACGGTTTCGGCTTGGGGCTTGAGTTGGGGATTTGGGGCTTGGGGCTTTTTCGGCTCAGCCTTCCGAGCCTTCCCGGATTCCGTAGTAGACCCTATACCCCAAACCCCAAACCCCGAACCCTAAACCCCAAACCCTAAACCCCAAACCCTAAACCCCAAACCCTAAACCCTAAACCCCAAACCGTAAACCCTAAACTACTGAGCCCCAAACCCTAAACCCTAAACCCTGACCCTTAAGACCAAGGTCAAACTACTACGACATACAGACGTCCCACCTAAATCCCGAGCTCTAGGTCGTACGATGCCTGCCTTGTCAGATGTAGGGCTCCCGGCCGGCTTTAGATGTAGGTTCAGGGTTTAGGGTTTAGGCTCTAGGGTTAAGGCTTTACACTTCAGGGTTTAAGCAGCTTAAGCCTTTAAGGCAGAGGGCTCTTAGCGCTTAGGGTCTTCGGGCCAGGTGTTCAGGGCTTAGTCGGGTGAGCTTCGGGAACCCTAAACCCTAAACTTTTTGGTTCCGGGTTCCGCGTTCCGGGCTGAGGACATCGGGTTTAGGGTTGAGGGCTTATCGCGTTCTTCGTCGAAACCCAGGCAATGCCCTTCCAAAACACAAAAAAGTGGAGAGTTTAGGCTTTAGGGTTTAGGGAACCCTGAACGCCGAAGCCTTTGTAAACCCCACGAGAACAACACTGACCAAAGACATGACGAAGACGGAGCCGGCCTAGGCGCACCACCGGCGGCCAGGTGTCGGTGACGAAGACATTCGAGCCTTGCGGTTGAGGCTTTGGGGCAAACATATAGGGGCCCTTGTGCTTAGAGTTGAGTGCCCTTACGAGTTTCTTTCAAGGGTTTAAGAGAGCGAGGTCTTAGCCGCCAGCTTACGGTTTAGATTTGAGGCTTAGGGCTTGGAGAGTAGGATTTAGTTTACAGCGTAGCGCGTCTTTCAGTGATGGGGTTTGTTAGGGTAGTTTTGATAATTGGATGTGGCCTTGAGAGCTCGAAACCTAGGGGTGAGAGCTCATTCACGGTTCAGGGTGTGCCGGTGCCTCAAACCTGACGACTCACTGATGCAAAACCTAAACCCTAGAATTCAACTCCATAACCATCAACCCAAAGCCCTTTAATTCCCAATGTGCAGCTTAAGCCCTCGACCTTAATTACACCCTTAAACCTTACCAGAACCCTAAAGAACTTACCCTGTTAGGACTCCTTGTTATGATTTCCTTGTTGGTCCCCAAAAAGGTAGGTTCTTTGGGGTCTAGGGAAGCCTTACAGCCGTAAAACGTGAAATCCCCTCAAGCTTTAGTTGGCGTCCGGGATTTCTGCTGCAGGGTCCGCGTCATTGCTTCAGGGCTCGGCGTCTGCTTGCTTCCGCTGGAAGAACTTGCTGGGTTCAGGGTTTAAAAGTTTAGGGTTTATGGTTCAGGGATTAGGGATGAGGGTTTAGGGTTTAGGGATTAGGATTGAGGTTTAGGGATTAGGGTTTAGGGTTTAGGGATTAGGGTTTGGGGCTTCTGGCTTGGGGCTTAGGGCTTAGAGGCGGCTGTCCCGCTCGGAGCGTCTCCATGTCATTACCCTTACAAGAACCCGAAGGCTGCAACCCGGAAGAGCCTAAGCCCTGCAAGGTTCGGGGAGGTGTCTGAGCCCCTCAAGGACCTCCAAAGGTAAAATGGAATCCCTATGGGCAGTTTGCAAACCCTAAACCCTAAACCCTAAACCTAAAAGGTCCCCAAACTAGTTCGGCACCCTTTTCAAAAGGACCCCCAGAAGGGTCCCTATCACTTAAAGAACTACCCATCTCATCGGGCCTTACGCTTGGGATGGCCCGAAGCCTCGAACTCAGCATAGAACCCCAAAACAGCCCTTCCGGAACTGCCCAGGAAACCCTCTTAAAGGACACCTTAACCCTGAACCCTCAACCCCAAACCTTGAACCCTAAGCCCTAGACCCCTAAATCCTACAAGGCCCTCAACCCTAAAGCCCTAAAGCGCAAACCCCGTAAGGACCCCTCCCCCCAGCCCTTCACATCGCGATGGGTGATAGCCCTAAACCCTGAACCCTCAACCCTTAAACGATGAACCCTAAAACCCCAAGGCCCCCTAAACCCTAAACCCTAAACCAGCCACCCGGCCCTTCACGTCGCGATGGGTGATGTTGGCATGGTGCGCCACGGCGAGGCCTCTGGGGGCTCTCAGCGGTCTTTCTGGGGCCGCTCAGGGCTTCAGATCTAGGGTTTCGGGTTTTAGGGTTTAGGGTTTAGGGTTTAGGGTTAGAGTTTAAGGCTCAGGGTTTAGGGTTTAGCGGTTTAGGGTTTAGGGTTGGAGTTTAAGG